TTTCTCGATGCCTGTACATCCCACGATCTACCAGAAAATTGGACATGGACAGAATCCATGTGTACTTAAGTTTACTTGCTTCAGACGTAGTGAAATTGACCATGATGGTTACACTTGTACCCAGCCTCTGAAATGCTCAAGGCGAATCATCTCCAGATGACCTTAGTGAGTATAAGCTTCAGTCACTTGTACACACAATTAAATATTGGCACAATCTCAGTTACTCTCATGCCAGTATCTCCTCACACGAGCACTCGTGGTCGTACAGGTGGTCACTCGCCAAGATAGCTTGGAGTCGATCCTCTCTTACCCTACCTTCATGTATGTGTACGCTAATCTTCTGACTGTCTCATTGCCTTTGTCAAGGGCGCATGGTATCGATATATCACAGAGAGTGAGTGAGTGAGTAAGTGAGTTGGGTTTAACGCCGCTTTTAACAGTCATAGACTAATATATATATATATATATATATATATATATATATATATATATATATATATACCTTCTGTTACCCTACCTTCATGGGTAACACATACTTTTTAATTCAGTGGAATTGCAGAGATCTTAGGACACAGTTTAATTATTTACACCTATTAGTACAAGATATTAAAGCCGTCAGCAATCTGTCCTCAAGAGACGTATTTAAAATATGGGTAAATTTAACATGTGGAAACATTTGACCTAAGACAAACTTTGTCATCATTCGTTTTCTCCTCCGGGTGATAAAGTGACTGGGGCTCTACTAAGTTACTCAGGCAGAAGTCTTCAAGCTATTTTAAGCTTGTACATTTTAGTGACATCTTTAAAGAGGCTGTAATAATGTTTACATCTCATGTAAGAAATAATTATAATCGACTCGTGGTCGTTGTTTATCGTTCATTTAAACACGGTAGAAAGAAGAAACCATGAGGGGTGGCGTTTAGTTCTTAATTCGAACCCACGTTGATAAAATCCTTGAACGCCTGGGACGCTTAATTGTACAATATGCAGCGTATAAGACGACTCGGTCAACCGTACCCCAAAGTAAAGACAGAAATTGGTTTCAGGACATGAAGTCAAGTATAACAGTCACACGTGTTACTCAATAGTAAGATAATACAGTAAGACGTGGTTATCAGGAGTATTGTTTCACGGCCGATTGTAATTCGCAGTGTATGTGTACGCTAATCTTCTGACTGTCTCATTGCCTTTGTCAAGGGCGCATGATATCGATATATCACAGAGAGTGAGTGAGTGAGTAAGTGAGTTGGGTTTAACGCCGCTTTTAACAGTCATAGACTAATATATATATATATATATATATATATATATATATATACTCACACGCAAAGGAAACGCAAGTCGAGTATGCAGTATACATGTTATTTATGACGTAATTGTTTTTTTCAATTGTTAAGGGCTTACACAGTTTCGGGTCAATATCCAAATACCCGATTTGTGAAGGCCCTAGGCATCCTCCTGCACACATCCAGAGCAGCTGTGCGTAGTTCATCGGCAGTTGTAGGGACTGGGCGCACATTGTGCAGACGCCTTTGAACCTCATCCCATAAGTGTTCGATGGGGTTCAGATCAGGGCGGAGGGCTGGCCACGGTAGACCACGGATGTTGTGTTGTTGCAGAAAGGCCATGGTAGCTCTGGCAACATGGGGACGAGCGTTGTCCTGCTCGAAAATGTGTTGTTGATGATGTGCAAAAAATGGAACAACGTGGGGTCTGATCACTTGGTCGATATACCGCTGAGCAGTGACGCCGTGTCCCCGACCTTGATTAACATTCAGAAAGCACATGGGTCCATGTCTCACATTAAGTCAAATCCCTGCCCATATCATGACGCTAGGTCCACCTCATGGATCCCTTTCCACAACGTTTCTGTCAGCGAAACGATCACCTCGACGCCGCCAAATTCTGAATCTTCCGTCTGCATTGGAGACACAAAAGCGACTTTCATCAAAGAAGATGACACGCCTCCACTCACGATGACGCCAATTGTGATGACCCTGTGCCCACTGAAGTCGTGTTTGTCGATGCCGTGGCTGGAGAACAGGACGACGTGCTGGTCGGCGACATCTGAGGTTGTTGGAACGGAGACGTCGGATCACAGTGTCCCGGCTAATGTGTCGATTATGTGTTCCTATGGTCTGTCGAGCACTTTCACTTGCAGTTAGGAACGGATGTCGCTGGTGTTGACGGGTAATCTGCCGATCTTGTCTAGGTGTGGTGACGCTAGGACGACCGCTCCGATGAATGTCATCTGTGGTCTGTGTAGCATTGTATAGATGCAGGAGACGGTAAACTGTGGTTATGTTAACGTTGAAATGACCGGCAACATCTTGGACAGACTCTCCAGCTTCCGAACGTCCGATAGCCTGGTTTCTCTGAATTTGAGTTAGGCGTGGCATTGTTGACCAAGGAGTGGTAGGTCCAAGAATCGGCCACAGTTTTATACCCACTACAGTTCGTGACAGTTCGTGCATTTTCGATTTCGCGAGAAATGGGTGCATGATACCCACATATTCATTGAAATGGTGCGTTTTGGCGATTCGTTTTTTATGTTGCATTTTTACTCGGGGCTTCCAAAATGCAACCAAAACTATTGATAACACCATCAGGCTTCACTACATGTTAAAACTCGTATCAATTTATGGTTCCGTGTTTGTTACCTATTTGCTTAAAACCAATTTTGTTTCTTTTGCGTGTGAGTATGTTTGTGTGTGTGTGTGTGTGTGTGTGTGTGTGTGCTCGCATTTGTGACATCGTGAGGACCAAGAACAAGTAGAACACCAACGTTCTGAGGACGTTTTCAAAATAGAGGACTTGCACCCCAGTCCTCGGATTGACATTGCAGATTTGGCATCAGTGAGAGCCCACATGTCTGTAGGATGAGTTTTAGGACAGTCCTCAGATTGGGGTATTTTAAGACTTTCGTTACACACCCACCATGCGCTAAACACACTTTACTCGCTCGAAAACGTGTACAGAGATGTGCTTAACCCCTCAGCCAATCATATTTGCTTCCTGTATCTAGAGCCAATCAGAGACGATCTTACTACCATCCAATCAATTGTGTCGAAAGGCAACATTACTAACACCAAACACTGCGTGCAACAATAATAATGATGAAGACAACTGCGACCTCGCTGTACGGAGCTGTTTTCCCCGCGTATTATGTCCTCCATTTGCCGCCAAAGGTAAGTTTATGTTTTTATCTTTTTTGAACTGATTGAAACAGATTTCAAAGACAATGAGAGATGTACCATCAACTTTTATTGCTATTTGGTTCCCACTCAGATTTCATTAAATGCCTAGAATATTGCTCTAGTAGACAATTTGAGGTGTCGGATTTAGCCGTTTTATGGTTTGATTGCATTGTGTTTTACAATATCACCGAGGCACTGCGTTGCTATCACTATTGTCTCAAGTATAACCTGCATGTTGATGCTTATTTTAGAAACTGCCCCGGCGAGCTTCCACGTGCATTTGTTTGAAGGTGATTGTTGAGTCATCAGTGATTATTAAGGCTGCATCATATACAAGCTATTCAGAGACTGGAAAGCACTAAGTCGAAATGTCTTCATGTCCCTTGTACAAATTTAACATATTTATAAAATTCGCCTCCCAATATGCACGTCGGTCGATATAATTCTTGGAAATATCGTTACAAGCATGATGGCATGCATTTGAAGATGTTTGGGTGTATCTATCTACATGCACATTTTGGCATTATAAACATCGGAAATCTCAACTGTGATCGAGGGCCTAATCCTGTAGCATGTCATTGTGTGGTATACATGTGGAAACCTTGAGGTTAGATAGGTAGCTGTTATCAAGTAATCAGAGAGCTGATTTGTCAGTTACATTACATTGTATTTGCAATGTGGTTGCCTGTTAACCCTATTATAACTACAGTCAAGTCCCTTTTATCCAACAATCGACTTCTTCCGACACAAATGATGGGAACCGATTACAATCATTACATCAGTGTTGATTAACAGTTCACACACTCCGATCCCGACACACCTAATTTGCAACGGATTGCTAAAATCACCCATAAATCAGTCTTGTTAATCCAATGGTGTCTGCCTGCCCTAAATCTGCAAACACATCTGAATCATTCATTCATTCATTCATTCATCTGCATCGTGCATAGACTCACTGCCAATTAGCTGTAAGTTGATAATCTTGTGGTCTGTTTAAATTAATTTTATTTTTGTTTTGTGCATTTGGTGTATTTTTACTCTTTCCGAATAACTAATTTATATCATAAAGCGTATTTCTACTAATGTATTACTGTATGCCTCGTTCATATCATAAAACAGTGTGCATTCACTGCTAATCCATAGATTTGGCGATTGCTGTACCAACAGCTGAATTACGACTTTCCCGGGAATATCTGAGCGTTCCCGGTCCGTAACCGTGTGACTGACCGTGTGTTCACAGCCCTGTATTTTGACTCTAGACGAACCGACTAGTGGCTGCAAATTGCAACCAAATGTCCTTATTTCAGTACATGGAAAAAGTTTCAGTCAATTTCTGTTATAACGCGAAGAGAGGGAATCAAAACAATCAAAATAGATCTTTCCCATCGACTGATTGTACCAGTTATCGTCATCATCTAAAAAAACATGTGCCACATGATCATGCGCACCTCTTCAGTTATGCAAATTACATTTTTTCATGCAGTTTTTGTGGTTTACAGATGGTAGAACAAGAATCATGTTAAATGACTAGATGATGTGCCGATAATGTCAATATATGTAATAAGTCATCCAGACAATAGTACATATGAACACGCCTTGATTATGTTAGTGTGATAAATGCGCAGTAAGTAGTGGCTCTATTTGCATTAAAATGTGGAATATTAAATTATGTTTGCAATATCATTATCAATGAATGATGGAATAAACAATATGAATAATTGTTTTTATGATTTTATTTCATCATGCTTGTATCGTTATCTATCGTGTAGTTGTGACTGTCCAATTTTAGATCATGACCGTTTATCCAACATAGTCGTTAATCCTACATAATCATATTGGATTAACAGGACTTGACTGTATTGTACATTTGTGAAAATTCGATAGTGGGGGTCACGGTTGGCCCAGTCGCCTAAGGCGCCACAACTTCCTATTACATCCCTTTCCTGCCTGGAACCACTGGTCATGTGATTGAATCCCAGTATCATCCTGAATATGTTCTGTTAGAACCAGAACCATGCTCGTGTGTTTCAATAAAGTGGCAAACATTGGAACCTGCACGACTTTAAGCTTTCCTCCCACATCAAGTTGACCACACTGATATGAATGTTACCCTGTTGAAATGGCTTTAAAGCCCACTCACTCACCATGCTCCCTGTGAATGTCTAGGGAAATATCTTTTAATTTTAGGATAAACTTTATTTCTATGTGTATTTGAGTTGATAAATATACATATTTACTGTAGGGTCTACTATCATGCGATTAACCAGATATCTCTCTTGTAAGATCCAACTTTCTCCATTTTTAGATGCCACTAACTCGGAGGTCACAAGATAGTGACTCTGTCACACCTCATCAAGATGCTGTTGAGCACTGTATGACCGGAGTGGACAAAGAAGACTTCACTGTTCGCTTTATTAGCCAATATAAAGGTATGGTACCCTGATTAACACCAACACTTGAATTACCCTACTATAATTTATATGAAGAGAAATGTTGCAATTTCAAAATATAATATTGATGCTGCACACAAGTATGGAGTAATGTAAATATAAACCAATTTTGAAAAAAATACAACTCTGTTTTTGTTTTTTGACCTAATTGTAAAATTTCTTCCACTACTAGGACAAGGCGTGTTTACAACAAAACACTTCCAGAGGGGTGACTTTCTGTTGGAGTACATAGGGCAAACCTTGTCTGCTGTTGAGGGGGAAGAGCGCTTGACTGGGCCTGATGTGGGCAGTTTCTTATTTTTTGTGAACAAGAATTTGTGGTAAATTTGTTATTTTTGGATCACCAGAATTTCTAAATAAATTTGAGTAGCAATGCTAAAAAATAAAATACATTGTATGTTGAATGTTTTGGTTAGTTTTCATCCAAACCAAAAATATACACCTACAGTATTTTGGTTAATTTTAACATTTGTTTATGAATATAATCAATTCACTTTATGAGTTTTTAGCCGATTCAGATTTCATTGGCTGATACTTCAATTTCAGTATTCATGCAACTGACAGCAGATGCTATGGTAAATTTGTGAATGACAGCATGACAAAAAGGAGAGCCAATGCCTTAATGAAGCCCCTTCACCTTCGAGACAAAACACATTTGTGTTTGTTTGCCAAGAGGGATATTTCACCAAATGAAGAAGTCACATACTATTATGGACCCACAGATGAACAGATGTACTGGAGATTGGTAAGCTATTTTTAAAAACCTAAGTGATGTGTTTATCTGCCATCTGTGTATGTGGGGAATGCTTTTTATATAAGGGTGAAAGTGAGGGGTTACCCAACATTCTGTTGTTGCCATAACAAAAAATAATTATCCTATTTTGATGGAGCTTGACATATTATAATGTATAGGCCAGTGTCCCAAGCTGATTAGGTTTTTGGGGTTAAAGGTGAAGGTCACAGTTAAGGGTATTGTGAAACATTGGTTATATTAGTCACTTTCTCAGGTACTTGACTGTTGCTTCTACTATCACGAGACTTTATATTTGGATGCATTGAAATTAGGCCTAACCTAAGCGTTAATTTAGGTATAGTTAATGCCACATTGATATTTGATTGAATGTTTAAGTCATCGAAATGAAAAGATGGTAAATTAATGTCTAAAAGTGAAAAGACATTCTAGAATGGCACAGTGGGTTGAGTGTTATTTACAAGCAATTATCATTATCAATTATGATAATAACAAACAGGCATACACATACACACAAAAAAGTGGTTGGAAAATGTAGGAAATGCCCTTTTTTAGGTTTAATTTGCACTAACGAGAGGAGTTACTATCCCCTCTCTTGTCGTTGGTCTGCAGTACCTTCCTATGAATACTGAAAACCCTTCTATGTACATTTCTATTGAAACCCTGCTCATACAACATGTACAAGGCTATATCAACCAAATCGGGTTACAGAATATTTTTAAGGAATAGGTGTCCCTTACATCAAGTTTTGATTGAAAATGGATGGTTCTTATGATAGATTACCTGTAGGACAATACACATGATACATTGGTTTCATTATTCTCAACGTTTGACACATATAAACAAAAAATGTCTGCATGACAAGATTGTTTTAAGTTCTTTTATGTGTTGATGTTATTAGCTGTTGGCTTGAAAGGCCTCAAATAGCTGTTAAGTACATTATAAAACTGTAAAGTACATTGTGAACAGAAAAGGTTTGTCAAGGGCTTTCTCGGTTATTGTGGTGTCCATCAACACTTTTCTAGTGTACTCCAGCTTTTCATTTTTATGGCTGTTGGTCCTTAGGTCCATTAACTTTTGAATCTGGATTTCAAACATGGTCTCAGGACAACAATTGCTCTCATTAGACTAAAGATCTGATCATACTTACAGATAAACTATTTCAGTTTTGATCTAGTGGATGATTAAGACACAACTTGCATTGTCAGTATTTATTCAATATATTGTTACAGGGCAAACAGCCAGAACAGTTTTATAACGCAGGTAACATGGACATGACAAATGAAAGTTTTACATGATTTAAATTTTATCCATTTGCTTTAAATTTTGTTGTTTGTTGGAATTGATCTTCCAATGTTGCGGGGAGAAAATCTTTGCATGAACCCTTGTTATTGTTGTCACCTTAGTAATTTTGTTTGGTTGTTTGAAGTTTGTTGTTAATGTCTCACCGTGCTAACAAGTATGATACATCCAGGTTAACTTGGTTATTCTGCTGCATGTTCTAAATATGAAACAAATTTAGTTAGAGAGAGGACAGCGGTAGAAACTAACATTTTTAGCCCACTAGTCCTTATAATGATAACATATAGCAAAACCTATAAAAATGGCAACTTGGGCAGTTTGGCAAGGACTAGGGGACTAGTGCCAATTTCTCACGCTGGAGGACATTGCCATTCGGAATTTGAAATGCTAATTTAACATGCTGAAATGAAACCTTTATTTACAAGTTATACTTCTTCAAAACTGCTGCAAATAGTACTGGAGTGTGCATGCACCTCTTTCAGTATGAGTTTTTTATATGAGACCAATAAACGTGTTAAATCTATATGTACATGGTTCGCATGAACCTTGATAAGTACTTAAATTTCAGTGTCAGTCTACTGATAAGGAACTGTTAAAATATTATTTACAAATTGGTCCTCTCTTTAATGGTTGTTAGTTGTTAATAGTGATATTTATAACTCAGCACCTTAAGATATACGTGCATGTTTTATTCTATGGAAACATTCCACATTTCAGAAACCCCCGACAGACCTCCTGTTAAAAGACCACCGATCAGTCCAGTTTATACGTCCATCGGTACTTCAGGAGAGACCCCCGACAGACCTCCAGTTGAAAGACCACCAATCAGTCCAGTTCATACGTCCATCGGTACTTCAGGAGAGACCCCAGACAGACCTGTTGAAAGACCACAAATCAGTCCAGTTCATACGTCCATCGGTACTTCAGGAGAGACCCCCGACAGACCTGTTGAAAGACCACCGATCAGTCCAGTTCATACGTCCATCGGTACTTCAGGAGAGACCCCCGACAGACCTGTTGAAAGACCACCGATCAGTCCAGTTCATACGTCCATCGGTACTTCAGGAGAGACCCCCGACAGACCTGTTGAAAGACCAACGATCAGTCCAGTTCATACGTCCATCGGTACTTCAGTAGAAACCCCCGACAGACCTGTTGAAAGACCACCGATCAGTCCAGTTCATACGTCCATCGGTACTACAGTAGAAACCCCAGACAGACCTGTTGAAAGACCACCAATCAGTCCAGTTCATACGTCCATCGGTACTTCAGTAGAAACCCCAGACAGACCTGTTGAAAGACCACCAATCAGTCCAGTTCATACATCCATCGGTACTTCAGTAGAAACCCCAGACAGACCTGTTGAAAGACCACCAATCAGTCCAGTTCATACGTCCATCGGTACTTCAGGAGAGACCCCCGACAGACCTGTTGAAAGACCACCGATCACTCCAGTTCATACGTCCATTGGTACTACAGTAGAAACCCCAGACAGACCTATTGAAAGACCACCGATCAGTCCAGTTCATACCTCTATCGGTACTTCAGTATGCTGTTCTGCATCACTCAACCTGCTTCAAGACGCAGCCAGACCAGGTCTTATTGACACACGTAAGTTGACTATACTATACACACATAACTCCAGTTATCATCTGGTATTTTATCATTTTAGCTCTTCTGTTCCACAGCGGTAGCCGTAAACCTTTCACGCTTTCTACTTATGAAACCACTTGATAGATTGAGGTGAAATTGTGTGTGTATCTTTGTCACCCACAAGGGTGTTCAACTTTTTTCAAGACATGAAAATGACAATTTCCATATGACAATCTTTGATTTTCTGCATAAAAAAACCTTAGCCCTGGTGATTTGTTGAAGACATTTTCACCACTTATGCAGATTAATTTCATAATTAGGTTCTGAAATTAGGCCAAATCCACTTTCAAGTCTTCCTAATTGACCAAGTGTCTCTAATACCTGTAAAAATAAACTGAATTGAACCACACTTTGCCTTTAGATTCTGTGTGTCATTGTCCATATATATTCGACCATCTACATATTAAATGTGTGATGTCATTTGATTAGTTCAATTTGAAGCTGGGCTAACTTTTAACATGGCCTTTGGGGTTATTATTGCTATGTGTGTGTTTAGTCCAAACCATTTATTTATTGTGCATGCTAATCATTTGTCTTATGATTGGCTGAATTTGAAATAAGGCCTACTTCTAGAAATAGGGACATAATGGGATCAAACTTGGCCTTTGGGTTTATAATGACAATGTCTCTGTATACCTAACAATATTTCCATATTGATTTGGTCAAATGTCATTTGCTCATGTCGCTTGGCTGAATTATAAATGACTCCGACTCTTATAAATACAAACCGAATTGGACCAACTTTGGCTTTAGGTTTAACATGTTTAATATTTCATTGTCTCTCTATTTTCTCGACCATATGCATACAGATTATTTAGGTCAACTGTCATTTGATTGGCTAATTTGAAACAGGACTAACTTCTATCAATGGGGACCAAATTGACGCATACTTGGCCTTTTATCATAACAATGTGTTCATCTAAATGTTTGCATACTTGTGCATGGTTAGCTGCATAGCCTTTGGGACTATTTTCCTTTTTAAATGGGTTTAATGAGGAATGTGTATTGCATTTTGCACATTAACATATACTTGTGCTCCATGCTGTTTTGAAATAATTTCCATTTCAGAAACTTCTGACATGGGCGAGGCATCTCCAGTGGTTCATACCACTATCCAGCCTTCTTTATGCTGTTTGGAGGCATGTTCAGAGTCTTCAGATTCTGATGTCATCACACGAAACATAAGGAAGACTATACCTTTGATACAGTCTGCTAGTGAAACTTGCATTTCCAATTCTATGTCTGAAGACGATGATTTGTCTGATGTGTTTCTGTTACATGCTCAGCCTATGCCAAATAGCAAGCAGGAGGTTTGTGTGAGTATTGCAGACAGTACAACAGACACTAAAGTCAATTCAAACCCCAAACAGTGTGTGACTGTGTCAAAATCCACAAACACTTCAACTAAACGTGTTTGGGATAAAGTGAGTGCATGTGTGTATTGCCAAAGAGTCTATGCTAAGTTACCACAACACATGGAACAAAAACATAAGGATGAAATTGAAATTGCTGCCATCTTAAGTTTCCCACCGAAATCTGCAGAGCGCAAGTTAAAATGGCAGAACATCAGAAACAGGGGCAACTTTCACCATAACACAGACGTTTTAGTCAGTGGCCAGGGGAGTATTATACCATTGAAACGCCCTCCAGCAGATAGTAATGTTAGTGCCTGGGATTATCTGCCTTGTGAAAACTGTTTTGCATTTCTACACAAAAAAGACCTTTGGAGACATGCAAATACAAAGCTAATCAAGGTGGAAAAGGGTCTTTTGGACGATGGCATCAAGCAGCAAGTAGTGCATTGTTGCCCGTTTCGATAGAGGCAAATGCTGTGTTCAAACAAAACATACTAGATTCCATGACATATGATTCTGTATCCATTGTTGTAAGGAATGATGACTTAATTGTTCAGTTTGGATCCAGACTTTTCAGTACATGTACAAACAATTCTCATCACTATCCGTATGTGAGGCAGAAAATGAGAGAGTTGGGAAGATTCTTGCTGAAAATGCGGGAGATTAATGAAGCAGTTACTGGACTTTCTGACTGTATGAAACCCACAATGTTCAAGGATGTTGTTAAAGCTGTGCAACACACTTCGAAGTTCAATGCAGAAAAGGGCTCTTATGACATACCATCATTGGCCTTGAAACTAGGACACTCCCTAAAAAAGTGTGCCAAGATTGTTAAAGCGTCAGCTCTAATTGTAGATGACAAGATGAAAAGAAAGGAGGCAGAGGGTTTCTTTGACCTGTGTGAAAGTGAATGGAACAGTGCTGTTTCTAGCTTAGCTTTGCAGACTCTGCATGTAAGGAAGTTTAACAATCCAAAGAGAATACCCCTAGCAGAAGATGTCAAGAAGGCCAACCAATTTCTAAAGGAGAAAGGTGATCTGCTCTTCAAATCACTTGAGTCGTTTCCTTGATGGTGAATATTCAATTCATAATTTTTGAAATTTCATCTTTAATTTGCATGATTGATATTCGCAAATGACCGTTCTATATTTTTGTTTATCAAACTTTGCACAGATATTAGGGTAGCCATTTTTGTTTGACTTTTTAAACCAGGGAAGGGATCATTCCCACAAGATAACTTGTGAACCATTTGTGAACTGTCAGATGTTTCCACACTTATCAATCATGTGGTCAACTGGTGACATTACGGGTGCCAGTCTAATGGAAAACCCCAGTGTATCTGATCCATTGCTTCCAGTGATCTTCTCACACTAACACCACCCTACTTTCCTCAATTATCATGATAAGTGGTTAACTACTACCACAACTCATACATCTCATACTGTAAACAGGGAATTTTTTGCGACCGTTTTATTATTGCGAGTTTTGCGAACGAGACTCAATCGCAAAAATTAGAAACGCAAAAATAAGTATAAATAATACATACATACTTTATTCATTGCAACATGTCATCAAATGTTGAAATCATCAACGAAAACCACAAGTTACTCAATAAGTTAAAAACACAAATGAATGCAGAATGGTCACACAATACATCACAAATGCCAGTGTAAACAGACCAATTAGTGTCACTGTTACCCCTTGCAATCCCTTCCGGTCAACTTTCCGGCCAACTCAGATTAACTAGCTTCTGAGAGAAGCTGTCTATTGTTTGGTAATCGAGGGGCCATCTCAACACGGCAACTCGCAAAAATATCTCGTCGCAGTATTGTCTTTGGTGTGGTAGTCGCAATATTTTAACGGCGCAGAAATAAAGCTGTTTACAGTATTTATTTACATTAGATGGCTACGGTACCAGTCAGTTAGCAGCATTATATTAATCAGTTATTATTCAGAGCCGTTGACTTTTTAGAACAAGTCCCAGAATGCTCACACTAGAACATATGGTTTGCTGTTTCAGAGGCAGTAGAGACTGAGGTTGATGAGACACAGGACATGGACATTGAGCATGTTGAGGACTTTAAAACACCTGTCCCAGAGAGTGACAGTACTGCAAGTGGTGGCACACCTACCCAAGAGTGGAGAGGTATACCTCTTAGATATATCTATCATATCTTCATGTAATCTTGTGTGTCTTAGCATAATTTATCTAGTCAAGATTTTGGTTTCCACAAATCCTCCAAAGGCGTCAACCTTCCATGCGAGATGTTCTGTTCAGTTTTGGGTGTTTTGTATGAAAATTTGTGATGCAGAACTAGCTCCAATAAGAGACAATTTTAGAGTGTTCTTGCTTGAAATTAAAGCACCTATAACTAAAAGGGTTTTTTTTACTTTGCAGACATGTTGAGAACATTAACTGCTCACAATTGTGATTTGCTGCTTTCACAGTTTTTGTCTTACACCTGTCAAATTGTAAACAGGTGCAGATGGGAATGGCGGGATGATTTTAAAATCTACTACAGGAAGCTCCCAAAGCTACAATCCTACATGACCCTGTACAGTTTTTTTCAGTTATGATTTTTCTGTTCAAGGTACTGGTACAACATGTGCAACAAGAAAAAAGAAACGAGTCTATCAAGCTGTAAAGCGACAAAAATGGTCAAAAGAAGAGAGAGAAGCTATTGAAAGACAATTGGGAAAATTCTACTTTTTGAAATCACTGCCAGGAAAACTTGACTGTGAAATGGCAAGGCAAAACGAACCTGTTCTCCTGCAACGGCCTTGGAAGCAGATTAAGTATTACATAAAGAATCACAAGTAAATGTGTCAAACTGTTTGTCCCTGACAGTTTACGTTGTAATTATGAAGCTCACTTTGACTCAGAAAAAGGTCTTTAGCAACAGTAATGTCATTATCATTGTCTGCTTTGTGAGGTTACAGTCCTTACTTTTAGACATCAAAGTGAGCTTGGGTTTTGTTATGGCCCTTTGTCCGTCTATCCGTCTGTAAACTGTTCACTAAACTTCTTCGCACTAACTACATGGTATATGTTGCTGGGCAACAATGAAGTGTGTTTTTTATTGTCCTCTCATGTTGCAGTACATTGTAAACTCAATTTTCATTGGCCAAGGTATGTGTAACCACCAACCAATAAATCATTTACAATTACTGAATTGTAAACATGGGAGTACTGTTTTACAGCAATAAAACTATTTGTGTTCAGTTTATGAGCAAACCCGGGCTGTTTTTGATGATATTTATTTATTATTTATTTATATAGCTTGGACCAAAGAGTTACTTTTACCAAATTTTAACAAAATGTTATAGTTATATTTGGAATATTACCTTCTCTTTAAAGGACATATTATATGACTTCTTCTAGGGTTGCATCAAACCTGGGGTTCACACCCACAGTACTCAAAGTTCAGCAACTGGAACACTTAAACCAGTCTTATAGATGTAATTAGCACGGATGGGACACGACCCCTATTACAACATATATGCTAGAATCTCTACAGATGTTTATGATAAAGTGGAAGCTTGCAAGAAAAGGACCTGGCGAGTTAGGCAGGGGATATAGAAACACGTTTATTTGTCTGAAGTTGCTATTGCTTTCACAGAAATGTAAATTCTGCAATTCTGTAACTCTGTGCTAAATTCGTCTGGGACTGAACTACTGTGTGTATCACTATGATCATTTGGGTACATGTTCTCGGCGTAACTAGCTACAGTAAAGTAGGGGGCGGTCGGGTAGCCTAGTGGTTTAAGCGTTTGCTCGTCACGCCAAAGACCTGGGTTCGATACCCGACATGGGTAAAATGTGTGAAGCCCATTTCTGGTTTCCCCCACCGTGATATTGCTGGAATATTGCTAAAAGCGGCGTAAAACCGTATCCACTCACTCACTCTCTACAGTAAAGTAGGGTTTTCGATTTGAAAAATTCAAAATGTCCACTATGGCAACAGTCATAAATATGAAGTATAGCCTGCAAACTCCAAAACTACTGCATATATTATGTTTTTTCCTATTTTAGGAATATATTCATGATCAAACTTCTGGTACATGTATTTTCTTTAAAAACAATCATGACAGATTACGAATAATTCATCATGTTAAAAGGTCAAAGGATATTTCACTTCAGATTCAGATGAGGTGGACACCATGAAAAACAAGGTGATTGCTGTAGCTAGTAGGTGTATTGTTGAATTTTAATGATGCTGTGTACCAAGCTTCACTGACAGGACATGATTGTTTATTTTTAGTCCCTTAACCATGTTAACAGTATTAATTTTTAAAACTTAACCAATTTCGAATTGGATCATCTTCCTTCAATTAAATCTAGTTACAGCATTGAGTCTGAATTTTTATAAAATAAAGGTGAGCATCAGTGCCCCAGTTACTATTATTTAGCAGTTATTACAGATAATTTTGTGAAGTAAGGCATATCCCTTCATTTTGCAAGAAACCCAATAAGGTGGACAAGTCCATTTCCCACTGAATGGAGTTTGATGAGTGTCCTGATTTCATTAAATCTGTTTCATCTGCATTTCTTCAAGCCATTATCTTATATTATGTTTGCTTATATGTCAAGTACATACAAATATGAGGAGAATTGGCATAAGACATGCTTTAGAGCAAATGGCTCTTTTGGTTTTGCCACTTCGTCTGATGTATCTTGTTACGTTTATCATTGTTTATGATAATGAGTTTAATTTGAATTTTATTGATGATTTTGTCGTTCCATTTGTATCAATGTCCATTTCTTCCTCAATTTTTGTGGCAATGTGTTAACATGTGTAAGTTAGTACACATTGCTGTATTATGGTTAGAAGTTGGATTTAGGTATAATGTGCCAGTGTGTGTACATAGCAGACGACTATAATACATTAACATTAATGAGGTCATCTACCTTGTTTTACTTGCAAACAGATGCTCCAACGCTTTCAAATAGCATATAACATACAGCCAGCTACATAGTTCTTGGGCATATTGGTGTACTGCAAAATGTTAAATTGTTATTTGAATGTTAGTCATGAATGAAAACTCAAAAGCCCTGATGCTCCATGAAATCGGATAATTGAAACAGCTGAATGTTTCATGAAAGACTTACTCATGTCCTCATCAAGGCACAGCTCAAAATAGCACACACTTTAGGTCTCGTTTGTGATATCCAACAAGGACCTCACGATGAAGTTGTTTGAACATCGAAGTAATATCACACCAAGGTCCGTGCCTCACCATAAAAATAGTACACACAAACACACACACACACACCAAGGTTATCAGTTGAGTTTCTTCAAGCCATTTATCTTTATAAGAGCCAATAGCTCTTTTTGTTTTGAAACTAAATATAATGTTTTGTTAGGTTTGGGTAAGATTTCACAATGTTCTTTTGTTTTTGTTAGTGATGTAGACAACTGTCTTTTTCATACTGGCTTTTCGTCACGATATGGCTGAAATATTGCCGATGTGACGTTAAATATTAACTCACTCACTCATACTGGCTTTAGACCGCAAAGACCACTTTACTGTTTTTACGTATTAGGATACCTTGTTTCCAACTGATGCAATTCAGAAACTGTTTTGTATGGTTCTTCAGGGTTTTTTTTTTTTAATGTTACTTTGTTGACATCTCTGTCATCCCTTAATTTAAAAAAAAATGTTTACATAAAATTAAACCTTCAGCAATAAATTCTTTTCTTATTTTACTGTCCATGAAGATTTCAGCAATCTAAAAATTGATATTTTTATTTTACCTGCAGATTTCTTTATGAACATGATGAAATAACTTTCAAAATGTGTTGAGATTTTCGACCATTGACTCTGAGAAAAAAACAAAATAACTGCCTTAAATATAAGAGGAGTGACAGTAAGTATCACCATATGTGTGCATAACGATATGTTTAACACAATAGGCTCTTATTGAGAGAAATGACTGATCTGAAAGGTGATTTTACCAAATTTCATCATGAAAAGTTGCATATCTATTCCAGAATAGCCTGTTGTCATGGTTTTGATAGACAGGATTTTTATGTGATGACATAAAACTTCATGATGCCTTTTTTCTGTATTTAACTGGATTGTATGGAAATTATCAATATTTTGTATTATACTCGCGTGATAATGTTTTCAAATAGTGTCCCATCCCTGCCATTGAGGTAAATCAGGAATGGTTAGCTGGCCTAAAGGGACAACGTTTTGCTTTTTGTCATAATGGAGAAACTCCAATTTTTATATATTTTTAGAACTTGTTTAAGGATTTTCATTTGAAATAAAACAAATTTATCAAGATTCTGCATTATATATTTTTGGGGCATGCAACATTAATCTACGACAATTGCAAAAGTGGAGACAAGTTACCAGAGACGGAGATCATGAATACATAGTTGGTATATGTATAATATGTAATAGTAACACTAACAATTTGATGGGTTCAAATCTCTGTTCACCCGGATTATGTTTCTATGTTTGTCAGCACCATACATGCGTTTCACCAAAGTGGTGAATGTCCTGCATCACTTCAAGCTTACCTCTCACATTAAGCCGACATGCCGTGGTATAACAGGAACACTGTTAAAAGCGGCATTAAACCCAACTAGCTCACTCACTCCCTTGCTCAAAACATTTGCCAAATGACTTTAGTTTCCACTTTGGGCTATCCAACAGTTGTTCGCTGCTGGACTTTTGGATTTTGACAATCAATCACAATCAATTATCAAATATGAGATTTGGATATTGAATATGATTTACCATATGGATATTAAAAACAAGTTTTTTTAGGAAAATAGTGTTAAAAACGGATTTTGTAAGGAAAACCATTTCCATAAGATGACTTCTAAGCTCACCTTGACCTTTTGGCCCAAGTGAGCCAATGACATGGATTGTTTGTCCATTGTTATTTGATTTAAGAACAACTTTGAAACCACTAAACCTGTGAAGGTGAAACTTAGTGAGTACATATTCCTCTCCTATACTGAAAAAGTGTGAAGGCCCACCTGATGTTTTTCATATTACTTTTGTTAATCATGCTATGCCATGACACATTGATGATAGTAATTTAAAAGGATCGGGTGGCTTTTAACCATACTTTTAAGGGCATACACACTCTGGTCCTTGTACTGAAGGCATCGCAATACATCTTTAGGGCATACAAACTCAGGTCCTTGTACTGAAGGTATCGCTATACATCTTAAGGGCATACACACACGGGTCCTCACTAATCACACATCCAGGTCCTCGTACTGAAGGCATCGCAATACATCTTTATGGCATACACACTCTGGTCCTTGTACTGAAGGCATCGCAATACATCTTTAGGGCATACAAACTCAGGTCCTTGTACTGAAGGTATCGCTATACATCTTAAGGGCATACACACACGGGTCCTCACTAATCACACATCCAGGTCCTCGTACTGAAGGCATCGCAATACATCTTTATGGCATACACACTCAGGTCCTCGTACTGAAGGCATCGCTATACATCTTAAGGGCATACACACTCGGGTCCTCACTAATCACACACACAGGTCCTCGTAATGAAGGCATCGCCATACATCTTAAGGGCATACACACACGGGTCCTCACTAATCACACACTCAGGTCCTCGTAATGAAGGCATCGCCATACATTTTAAGGGCATACACACTCGGGTCCTCACTAATCACACATCCAGGTCCTCGTACTGAAGGCATCGCAATACATCTTTATGGCATACACACTCAGGTCCTCGTACTGAAGGCATCGCTATACATCTTAAGGGCATACACACTCGGGTCCTCACTAATCACACACAGGTCCTCGTAATGAAGGCATCGCCATACATCTTAAGGGCATACACACACGGGTCCTCACTAATCACACACTCAGGTCCTCGTAATGAAGGCATCGCCATACATCTTAAGGGCATACACACACGGGTCCTCACTAATCACACATCCAGGTCCTCGTACTGAAGCAATCGCAATACATCTTAAGGGCATACACACTCTGGTCCTCGCTAATCACACATCCAGGTCCTCGTACTGAAGGCATCGCAATACATCTTAAGGGCACACACCAAGGCGTTCGCGATGAAGACATTTCTGACAGATCAGAATAGGAGAACACATGGTTATTTTCTCTACGTGTCTGATAACTTTCGATTTTTAGCAAGAAGACCACACATGAAGGATAATTCCAAGTTTTTTTAGCTGACCTGTTTTTACGTTAGCATAATGAGGACATATACATATCCATTATTAATACACATTGCGAGGACCAACGAAATGCATTATGGGAATGGTCCTCACAAGTAAGTCCTCATTTGTCATGCAGGTCTAGAAAAACGCTATCTCGAGACCAGTTTACCTTAGGAATAAAACTAAGTGATGAAGTTACTTGTGGACTTTGATAGATTCAAATTACAAACAATCATGCATCTAGCACCACTGGAACTAAGGGTCCTCATTACGGGGTTTCAGTATATGGCCCTCACTCCGCCGTGAATACAAGTATGTGTGTGTGTGTGTGTGTTCACCTGTTATGGCAGTGTATTTTATTGTTGTTTCTGTTGAGATTGGATAGACGCTCTCATTGTTTTTTCACAGTGATCAGTCGTCAGGAATGTGATGCCGTTTAATGTAGGTGGTTAGGTAGTCGTCAGGAAGGGGTGTTCTCACTTTACCAGCAGCTATTGTTCTAGTTTAAAAGTCAGGAGCCCGTGATAATCCCTACAACAACGGGGATTAACACTTTCACTGACTGACGATAGCCAGACTACAGCCTGTCTAGGTAGATATAACACAAAAAAATGTATGTAGTAGTATAGGTTTTTATTAATTATTAATTAAAAATTACATTGATGTACAGATGTACAAACTTTCAAGACAATACAATACAGTAGTTTGTATTGATACAAAAAAATGTATGTAGTAGTATAGGTTTTCATTAATTATTAATTAAAAATTCCATTTATGTTAAGATGTACAAATTTTCAAGACAATCTAATACAATATACCTTGCAAAATTTATGTCTGGCTACAGCAAAATCAAAGTCCGACAAATTGCACCTCCATATATATACAGTGTATATACCCGTTATTTTAACCTCACTCAATTTGTCTGTTTGGAAAAGCATAGTAATCAGTGATTTATGTTCACATCAAATAATTTAGCCATATCTGTTAAGCTGAACACAGTTCACTTCATTACTTAAGCTTGGCTCACAGTGGGTCACAGCTAAGTCATCAAGGAGCTCAGATAATCAAATCAGGCTATAGCTGGCAAGTCACTGAACCGTACAAGTTAATCTCCCCAGCCTGCTGGCAAAGTGAGAGTATACCGTCAGGAATCTACTATATTTAGATGCTAGTGTCGTGTGTAAACTTCCGGTCCAATACACGGCGGTCGGTGATCGTGTGTTATAGAAACATGTGGAGTGTTCCAGTGCCATTGGGCTGGTGAGGGCGCTGCGAAGAACATTACTAGTAGATACGTAGGTTGTATATAAGAAGACAAGAACGTTTTGAGACATATCTCACACTTTTCATCACGTAAAGACCAGCTTTCGTGTGTGGATCACTAATCACCCATGAATCTCTGCCTTGGCCCCTCTCGTAAGTTAAATCGCTGTCGCGGCTTGGTGAAATTATATTATTAACACAGACTGTATCACCACTGTAATTTTGTATTTGATACTGACCACTGCCATCATATAATGAATTGCGAATATTGGAATCGACACGTAACACACCTCAGTCTAAACACATGTTATAAATACATTGCTAATGATGTGATATCAGCTTCATTGTTGGAATTCAACAAAGTTATTTATTGTCCTTGGGTTTAACATTTAAATCACTAGTAGATAGAAACTTTAAACTTCACAAAGAACATGACATTCGACTCCAATTTCCTGATTGGTATAGTTAATACATTTACAAGTAACAAAATCAATATCCTTGGTTCTACAACATATATGGTCAAGGAAGTTATGTGGAGATATTCTACATTCAGGTCTCAATAGTGCTTTTATCTTGTAATACTGTTAAATATATTTTCTGCTTAAGAAATGGGGAAGAGGAAATTTGTTGGTGCCAGCTTTGCCGAAATATATCTAATAGTCTTATTTTTCATTACCGCTGTCTTGTGAGATCCATACAAATGAGAATCCATAACATAATAGCATCCTTCCTACACCAGACACTTTGTATTCCCTCCATCATCTAATTAGTTCAGCATTGATTCAGAAACGGGTAATTATAACTGTGTACTTCCATTTTAATTAAATTTATCCAATATTTAACAACACGCAACTGGCTTTGAACATTTATACTACAGCGAGCAGTTTCACTAAGTACTGCCTTACTTGAAGCATAATTACCAAATCGTTAAAATACAAAGTGTGAACTTTTTAAATGGATTCAAAACACTTAATAATCCAATTGTAAATATAGTTTATCAAAAGGAAACATTGCCTTAGGGCCTGTAGCGTTAAGTGCAAACAAACCTTGGACCAACTTAGTCTTGAGGACATTAATAATCCTAAATACTTATAATAACAACAACAACTTTTAAATGTTTATCACAAAATAAACTTAGTTTCTGAACCTTTTCTTCAGATACAGTTGAATAAAATATTCTGATACTTAATTAGGATTTCTAGCCCCTTTATGAAGTTAGTTTTGTGAAAGTAATCATCGTCTGTAAAACAATTGGAAACACATACGGTGAATTAAAAGAATGTTTGTGTTGTAAAGGTTCTATTTACTGTTGCTAATGAAGACATTTTGAAATTCAGTACCGAAGTATTTGTCAATTTATTATCTTATTATTCAAAGTTCCATTATAAAATCGACTGCATAATGTTGACTTTCCAAATGTTAACCACATACTAGGTTAATTACAGCGCAACTGTTTTGAATTTCTAAATACACATTATATAGTGAAATGAAGTATGCAACAGGTTGTATCGTTAGTTGTAAAAGGTTTACATAATACATTTCTCATCTGTACTGTAGCCACGTTGGGGTAGCAACAACAGAACACAGACTATATATCCGCTTCTTTGAGTGGCATTTAGAAGTTGGAATGGTAACTAGTTGCTCATCCATAACAATTTTGTCTTAGTTATATATCCGCTGTTTGCACTGTACGTCAGAGATGCACTGGTGTACAGTAGCACTTATGTTAAGAAATTCACAAAATAATTACACAACACGGATTTAAATTATTTTGTGAATTTCTTAACCTTTTTATCAGTAAAAATTAAATAAGTTGAGTAAGATTAAACACAGTTTTAATTGGTCAGCG